CCCCAAAACCCCAAAACCCCAAAACCCCAAGGCTCGAGATTTAATTAATATTAGTAGAGATTAGGTTTTTAAAATGTAACATTAGATGCCAGTGCGATATATGTATAAATTATATAATCTGTTGAGTTTTTTATTCGGTTGTATAATAACAATTACAATAATAGCGAAGTCAAGCAGTGCAATTAATATGAAGACCTCATTAGCGAAGTTAATGCTATTCGATACTTTAAATAGATGATCTTAGAGTATTCTAAGCACTACTGTTTAGGTTTATTGTTAAAGGATTAGGAATTCCACCAGTCAAGTGTTTAAGAAGTTATTGCTCCATTAATTCTTGCTAATCCCTCATAATAGTCAACTCTGACTCGTATTTACTCTTCTGAACTTACTACATAAAGATATTATTATTAATTGATATTGCTTACAATTTCATTATAGTAGAGTCTCATATCCCTGTCCTTTTTAACAACCATGTCCTTTAGGAACTCTACTTGTTAGTTTAAAACCAAGACCTGCTACTGCAGTTCCTATTCTCGAGACGCAGTTTGGCTAGCATCAAAGGAAAGATTATTTTCCTTGAAGCCTGATAGCTAATGAATGATATTTGTCTGTTTCCTCCTAAACGTTGACTGCATATTGCACTATATATCCTTGTCTGTCTATTAATTTTCTCTTGTTTAGGTGAATTGCTCGATCCTGGTAGGTTATACACGTGAAGAAATCTTAGTATTCCTGTTGGACAAGTTCGAATCATTAGAGACTGTTTATTAAATCATTTCCTTTTTCTCAGAAGCTAAACTTAGGAAATCATCATTCTTGTCCTCAGCCTCTGGCTCTTAGAACTGCTTTGAGTCAATTCTCTCAGTTTGCACTTCATCGACAGGCATTTATGAATTATTATTAATTCTGTTGATGAGATACTATTCTATATGAGCCAGACTGCCATGATCTACACTATTCTTAGCAATGACCCTTTTAGGGGAAGTGAATACATTCAGTTTGCTAGAGGATTTTTTCTTATGCTAAGATAGATGCATTATTCTTTCATTTGCTTGCTGGAGTTTCCTCTCGAGTTCTTTGATATATTCTTGCTGACTCATGGATTGAGAACCAAACTGCTGGGATGTTACCCGCAGATTGTTATACATATTGCTAGCAGAGGAGCCAGCTGATGACAGAGGATGAACAGTAAAAACATTACTCTTGTTTCTATCTCTACCGTAATCTGACTGATTCAAACCAAAGCCAGTGGTCTAAGTATTATTTGCATAGGTCTCTAGTTTATTTTTGGATTTTAAATTCCCAGGAGAGAGCTGCATATCATGAAAAGAGAACTTTTTATTTTATTAGGCTTTATTGGAGGATGAGTAGGGTTCAAAGGGGTCTTTAGTAAGATTCATATTTTACTAAGAAGCTTTTCTATTATTGAATGTAGTCCTTAGGTGATCAACCTATGTCTTCAACTCTTGCGGAGGATCTATTATCAAATATTATTATTGGTGGAACATTATATTGCTTACTTTCTAGTTTTTAGTGCTAACGAGTGTTTTGACGCTTTTTAGCTCTGAATTTGTTTCTGATCTCTCCCTGCAATATTTGATTTAGCACGATTTGACTAGTGGATGAATCTTCAATCTAATAGGGTGAATATACTCTAGATGTTAATAAGATTATTTGAATAATTTGGAGTATAGGGATTCATTACAATTGGTTTAGTTGACCTAAGGATTTTTCAAGTATCTTTCTGCTTTATTTATCTACAGACACTTCTTGCTGTTGCTACTAAATTGGTGGAAGACTAATAATGTGAATTATTATCTATTTAAAGTTTACTTAAGATTTTCTTATTTATCTACTGACGGCTTCTCCTTGTTATTATTAATTTTAATGACTTGGGATGAGTTGACGTTGGTCTTGCTATCTGTTTGCTATTCCTCTCTTTCTTCAGAACTTTGATCCACAATTTCCAGATTTGACCCACTTATCATATTGATTCTAGACTTGATGAGTTGATTTTTCTAGCCAAATTAGTCCCTCCTATTTTAAGTGTTCATTTTCTGCAATTGAACACTTTGTCTAGAAACAGGGGAATTAATTTGGGTCTGATTATTTTGAAGTTATTTCTGAATGTCATTTAGTTGTGAGAACGAGAACTTGCTTTGATCCTAAACGTTCATATTTTTGGAAAGCATTTAAGAGGATTTATCTCTGTCAAATGAAGTATTCGGACTCACATTAACTGAAGTATTCGAGATAAGTTAGCGCTTATATGGTCTCGAGCCTGAAACACCTATGATCGGATGATAATTAATTTGCATTTTTAATTATAAATATATGAAATTTATCTATCAAAATTTTATCATCTTTAATCTCAGGGGTTTTGGGGTTTTGGGGTTTTGGGG